GGCCCCCCATCCATGCACAGGCATTGCCAAACTTTGACCTGGGGCAGAAGCATCCTCTTAATAACCTTGCACACCTCCACAAGACCAGCCCAAGCAGTTGATTTCTCTTCCCCCCCCACCCCCAAAACAAAACTCCAGATCACTAAGTGACCACTAGCAGTGGGGGGAGGGGGGCGGAAGGTGAGCTTCCAAATGGCCCCACACTTCTCTGTGCAGAGGGGAATTCTCATGTTGGGCTTTTGCTGCTCCAGGGTGAGCTCTGCAGAGATCTCTAGGACTGTAGCCTGCGGCAGCTACTGTTGGTCAGCCCCGTTGGCAAGCCCTGTCCTGTCCTCCATCTGCGCTAGTTGACCGAGCCCAAAAGCCGCGCTGCACTCAGTAAGGCTGCTCCGGTTAAATGCCCTGCTGGAGTAACGGCTGGATTTCCTCTTCTCCCCCTCAGCGGCTGTATCACTGCGGCACCCAAAGCTCCTGACCCAGGCCTGTCGGCTGAGCCAATGCACATGCCTCATCCTGACGAGCTCTGCGCTCCGTGTGTCCCCAGGGCGGTCTGATTAGCAGTTTGAAAATGGCGCTGGCAAAATGCAGATGAATTATGGGATGTTAGGAGAGGAATCATCGGTGTTTCTCTGATCTCCTTCCCCAAGCCCCAGAATTCCTCTAGGTTCTGGGAGGCTTCCCACAATGCACTGTGAGAAAAATCCTAGAGCATTGAGTTGAGCAGTAGAAGTTGGCACTATGGGGACAGCTGCCCAGAACGCTTCCTGCTTCATTTGAACAACGGCAGAGCTGTGTGGCTGCCGTAATTAACAGAGGTTGTACCTTAAGGCTACATAACAGCTCCGTGCTGCGTCCTTCAATTCTATACAGTTAATTCAGGGTACTTAGAGTGAACAAACGAGATTGATTTAACTTTCCTGTATAGACAAACCTTTGCTCTGAGATCTTTAATGCGAAGGGGGCCGATTTAGTGACCTTGTATTTCTCTGAAGCTTCGCTGTCTAAACCTTTTCCTTCTCCACAGGAACATCTTCCCTTCCAACCTGGTGTCGGCGGCGTTCCGCTCGGTAAGTGACTCGCTGCATCATCCCATGCGCTGCGCTGTGTCCCGCAGGTCTCCCCTTAATAACTGTTCTAGAAACTGTCCTTGGGCTGTTTGTCCGAGTGTAGGACACCGCCTGCACTGCAGATATCCTCCGGGTTGGGGGCAGAACAGTCCCTTCACAGGTCAGTAGTGTAGATGGAACCTACTGACTCTCATGGTGTATTGCAGGACTCTCAAGAGCTGCCTTCCATAGACTTAGCCAGGGCCGGCTCCAGGGTTTTTAGCAAAAAGAAAAGATAAAAAGACGTGATCGCGATCTGCTCTACCGCCGCCGCTTCAGTCTTCGGCGGCAATTCAGCGGCTGGTCCTTCGCTCCAAGAGGGAGTGAGGTACCCGCCGCCGAATTACTGCCGAAGACCCGGACCTGCCGACCCTCTCGGTTGGCCACCCCAAGCACCTGCTTGCTGAGCTGGTGCCTGGAGCCGGCCCTGGGCTGAGCGTGGGCGAGAAGTGCCCTCAATATGTTTATACAGCACCTAGCACAGTGGGGCCTCTGGGAAAAGAATAAACGATGAACGTGATGTTGGGTGCATAATGCCTGCTCTAGAGAGACAGTGGTGGTTTTGCTGAGTCACTCGGAATTAGGATCAGGTAGATCCAAGTGGCGCTCAATCTCCCCAGTTCTTGTAATGGGTCTGCCATGGTGTCTGATGGCCTCCTGAGATTGAAAAAGGACAATCAGTGTGTGCCCTTTAGAGAGGGAGAGAGCCCTTAAAGGAGAGCTAAGCTCAGGTGGGTGGGGTGGTGGGGGAACTCAGGCTGAGAATTATGTTACCAACCAAGGCAAATCCCAGATGGGGATGTAAATTCGCCCTTCTCCATTGTGTGGGAACTCTGCCTGCTCCCACTGCAGTGCATTTAATGCACATGGATTCTAAAAATACACCTGGGAACTGGCATTTCCGGCTAAGCACCTGATTATAGGATCTGGGTAGCAGGTGAAGGCTTCAGTGTAAGCGTCGCGGTAATTGCAGGGTTTACCTACAGTGTCGTTTGGCAGGTGCAGTTATTGCTAATGGAACAAGGGCATCATAAGCAAATCTGTCACCGCGCTAACCTTTGGGTTATATTTATTTGTGGCAATTATGCTGTGGTTATAGTTGTAATTGCAGTGTAACTAAAGTGTAACTGGTCACTACGCTGTACCGTGTGACCTATAACTTCATACCAAGCACGCACGCTCCCCCACCCTGTTGGCCATTAAACAACATTGGGTGGGTTTTTCCTTCTCAGCCCCTCTTGTAGGCCCCCAAACCATGTGGGGTTAATCATAAGACATGGCTGAAACAGTTTATCTCCCCTTTTGTCTCTCCAGTATGCTACCCACTACAAGCTAGTGGTGATCAGAAAGAATGTCACCGATGAGCTGGGAGTCTTCAATGAAACCATCACAGAGGAGAAGGTAAGAACCTCATCCTGGGGAATGGTGCTGCTACAAGCCGCTCTGGTCTGATCCCTGCTGAGATGAACCTTCAGCTTTGCCTCTGCTGCTAAGAACACTGGGAGCAGGTGAAACTGCTGTCATCCCAACCCCATGTCAGAAGCTGCACACGGAGGCCTCTGCTTTACAGCAGAGCCAGAGACTAGGCTGGCCTGAGGCCGTCCTGTTTGCTCATATGGGATTGGTTAGTGGTGAGGCCCAGTTGGGGTGGGACCATCTAAATCCGCTAAGCAGTTGTCTCTGGATTGGAGGGGCCTTGGTGCTAAGAGTCCTGTCCAGATGGGAACTCTGCGGTCCCACCCTGCTTCCTCCTTGTCTGTGACTAGGACACTGCTGGTACCCCATCGGCCTCTTCTCCGTTGCTCTGGAATAGGACATAATTGCAGGGAGCTTCTTCATAGCTTGGACGTAGTAGTCTCTCAGAACTAGAGGCTTTGCATCCTGCTCTGTTCCCTTTCCAGCCGTGTCCAAGGAACCCCTGGGAGAGCCAGACAGGCCTCCTTAGTACAGACAAGGTGCTATCTCCCAAAGATGAAGCCCTGTATTTTTAAAAATTGGATGGTGACTGGATAGGTATGTTCTAACAACATGAATCAGAACAGGCCATTCCCATTGCTCCCCCTTGTCCTCAGTCAAGTGGTCATGGAAGGACTCTGTGTATGACACCAACCTTCACAAATGCTATCCAGACCATCTCCCTTATTCCTGGAGATGTCACCCAGCGTGGTCCGCTATGGAGGCTCATGACTGTACAGACATCTGTTCAGTAGTGTGAGTGCTGGGCAGAGGATCGCAAAGACAAGACCCAGGCAATGCATGTGTCTGTGTCTCGCAAATGCAGGGAAGTCACCTCTCCAGGTTCTCCAGCCTTCTGGGACCTTAAAGTACTGATGGCTAAAGTTCTACAAGGCTCTCCTTTCTTGCCAAACTCATGCCTGTCAAGCAGCCGCAAATAGCTAGAGCCTTTCTCTGATCCCTGGTCTGTTGTCTTCTCTGAGCTACCTTGTTCCTCTGATGACAAATGTTGACAACAAATGTTGACCTCTTCTCTGCTCAGGTTCCCCTGGGAGATGAGGTGGAAGGGATGAACATCCTGGGTTTGGTGGTTTTTGCCATCGTCTTTGGGATCGCTCTGCGGAAGCTTGGGCCCGAGGGGGAGAACCTGATAAAGTTCTTCAACTCCTTCAATGAAGCCACCATGGTGCTGGTCGCCTGGATCATGTGGTATGAAAGGGCAGCTAGTTGCACTCATTGGGGGAGAAGGAGGTTGATTCGGTGAGGGGTGGGCAGTGACTGGTAACTGGGCGATGAGACTGTCTCCTGTAGTGCATCGCCCTGGGTAGATAGCCAGAGCGGTGCGGGGTGGGTGCAAAGGCCTGTGGGGATAATTATGGGGCTAGATGAGCTGGTGATGGGAATCGACCAAGCGGTTCAGATAGAACTGTGTGGTGATTCTGTGCTGTAATGGAGACCATTCCACTTGGCTCGGTGCTAATTCGTTAACATCCTCACTCTGGAAGAGCTGGGCTCACTCACCAGTACGTACAGTTAGTTCCTTGCTCTCAGGCCCTCTGAGACCTGGATGTGAGCCTGACTACAGAAAGGGAGATGTCAAGTGATTCATCCAGGGTGGCAGAGTCCTCTGCAGAGACACAAATAGAACCTGGCCCTGCTCTGCTGATCTCGGGTCAGACACATGCCGGGGGCGTAATATTATACCGCAGATGCTCTTGGACGCGGTTGTTGGCACTTTCTTTCCCGGTGTGCCAATATGCCAGGTGCAGCGGTGACTACGCATTGGTGCTTATACCCAGTTCTGCCTCCTTTTAGCGGCTGGATGTTCCTGTTCTTCCTCCGCTATTGGGAGATGGGTAAATGACTTGCTGTATTGGAAACGCCATGGTGTAGTGTGAGATGGGAGTGGAAAGATCATGGGAGTTTTTTCCCTAGCTGAATGGAGGAAACATGAGCGGATTGTGGGGTTCTTTGCTTCTGGAAAGGTCTGGTGGGCGCATCTCTGGACCGGAAAGGGCAATAAATAGAATCCTCTCTCTGGGCTTGAGGAGTGGACAGCAAGGATCAGCAAAAGTCCTCCTGGCTATGGCTGGACTCCTTATCCACCTCTTCTGGGATCCTGCCCCACTGAGTCCTCTTGTTGTATTTGGACTTTCAGAAAGCCTTTGACAAGGTCCCTCACCAAAGGTTCTTAAGCAATGTAAGCTGTCATGGGATAAGAGGGAAGGGCCTCTCGTGGATCAGTAAGTGGTTAAAAGACAGAAAACAAAGGGTAGGAATAAATGGTCAGTTGTCACAGTGGAGAAAGGGTAAATACCGGAGTCCCCCAGGGGTTGGGACTGGGACCAGCGCAGTGGCAAAATTTGCAGATGATACAAAATTCCTCAAGACAGTTAAGTCCATAGCAGACTGCGAAGAGGTACAAAAGGATCTCACAAAACTGGGTGACTGGCCATCAAAATGGCAGATGAAATTTAGTGTTGATAAATGCAAAGTAAAGTGCGTTTGGAAAACATAATCCCAACTATACATACAAAATGATAGGGGTCTAAATTAGCCGTCACCACTCAAGAAAGAGATCTTGGAGTCATTTGTGGAGAGTTCTCTGAAAACATCCACTCAGTGTGCAGCGGCAGTCAGAATGTTGGGAAAGGGATAGATAATCAGACAGAAAATGTCATAATGCCACTATATAAATTCATGGTACGCCCACACCTTGACTGTTGCATGCAGTTCTGGTCGCCCCATCTCAAAAAAGATATATTAGACTTGGAAAAGGTACAGCGATGGGCAACAAAAATGATTGGGGGAGTGGAACAGCTTCCATACGAGGAGAGATTGAAAAGCTTGACTGAGGCTGAGAAATGACTAAGGGGAGAAATGATAGAGGTCTGAAAAATCATGAATGGTGTGGAGAAAGTGGATAAGTATGTATTATTTACCTCTTCACATGACACAAGAACCAGGCAGTCACCCAATGATATTAATAGGCAGCAGGTTTAAAACAAACAAAAGGAAGTACCTCTTCACCCAATGCATAGTCAACCTGTGGAACTCCTTGCCAGGGGATGCTGTGAAAGCCAAAAGTATAACTGGGCTCAAAAAAGAATGAGAGAAATTCCTGGAGGACAGGTCCATCGATGCCTTCTAGCCAATATGGTCACGGGCACAACCCTGTGTTCTGGGTGTCCCTAAACTTCTGACTTCCAGAAGCTGGGATGGGATGACAGGGGATGGATCACTTGATAATTGCCCTGTTCTGTTCATTCCCTCTGAAGCATTTGGCTTTGGCCACTGTCAGAAGACAGGATACTGGGCTATGTGGACTCTTGGTCTGACCCAGTATGGCCATTCTGATGTAACCTTCTCTCCACTCCCAAGCAGCATGTGCGGGGCAGACTTGTTTCAGGAGATGTGGATTCCTCCTGACCTATGAGAGGTAGCATGAACTAAGAAAGGGATTCAGCCCAGATTTCGGTGGAAGTTAGGAGCTTGAATATCTTTGAGGATCTGAGCCTGGGAGCC